CCCTAACCCTACCCTGGTGCACACCCCTAACCCTAATATAGGGGTGTGCACCAGGGTAGGGTTAGGGTTAGGAAAACGAGGTGTCCTGGCATGATTCTGATGGCTGGAATGTGTTTAGAAGGGGCAGAAAGGATGAGCTGTGCAGAAAAAGCTACTCAAGGAAGGCTTTTTCAAAATCACCCTCTTTTCATGGAGCTTTACCCCTATATTAGGTTAGGGGTGTGCACCAGGGTAGGGTTAGGGTTAGGAAAACGAGGTGTCCTGGCATCGTTCTGATGGTTGGAATGTGTTTAGAAGGGGCAGAAAGGATGAGCTGGGCAGAAAAAGCTACTCAAGGAAGGCTTTTTTAAAATCACACTCTTTTCAGTGGAACTTGACCCCTATATTAGGGTTAGGGGAGTGCACCAGGGTAGGGTTAGGGTTGGGAAAACCAAGTGTCCTGGCATGATTCTGATGGTTGGAATGTGTTTAGAAGGGGCAGAAAGGATGAGCTGGGCAGAAAAAGCTACTCAAGGACAGCTTTTTCACAATCGCCCTCTTTTCACTGTGGGAAGCTTTTGTTCGGCATCCAGAACTTGGGCCACCCCAGTCAGCAGCAAATGGGGATGGGGCAAGATGCAATCCTTGACTGGGGATTAAGGATCTCCGAGAAATCCCCAGTGGATTTACATGAGTTTGGAGTTCTAGGACATTCTGCAACAGACCAGCTCTTCCCAAGCTGCATGGACTTGCAGGCCCGTTTACCGAGGGGCGATTTACACGTTTGTGTTAGTTTGCAGGTGTGTGCTTGTGCATCAGGGCTACTGTGCACAGGGGCTGAGGCACACTGGCCCAAAAGTGCATCGGTAGGAATATGCATTCACAAATAAAATTCTCACGCAAAAGTAAAAATTGACTTCACCAGTGGAATGAAAGATGCCTGACTGTCTGTGAAGTGCAGACAGGGCAGAGTTAACAAAATCCATGCATTCCTTCTAGGGATTATGGGAGTTGTAGTCTAGCACTTCTGTGAATGGGAAGTTACACAGAGGTGGCTGTGGAAGAGGAGGCTCCAAAACACACCGGGACCAGCTGCGTGGAGGGAGACAAGCTTCTGGGAGGCTTCCTATTTTAATTATGTGTCTTATGCACCATTGTTAAAACCTGCACTGGGTTGTGTAAATAGCCGACAAAAGCCTTCTTGGCCTGCTTGAAATTCTGCGCTTGGTCCAAGCAGTCTCTCCTGTCAGAAAAACCACAAGACTCAGGTGGGGCTCAGCTGCGAGACCACTTGAATGGTTTGTGTGGGCCACAGAGTGAGGACTTCTGAGCAGGTGGGACTGGAAAGGCACAGGTTTGACTCCGCTGGAGTGTTTCTCTGGGGCGTCGATGCTGATGCGGCATGCCAGAAAGGAAACCGAGCCGCTTTCCCAGGGAAGCTGCCCCTTTAAACATCCCTGTGGAGTGGATGCACCTGTCAATCAAGTGAGAGGCTCAGCTCTCCAAAGCGGAAAGGAGGGGAAGAGGGACATTTTTGGTCCTCGGCTCCAGGGCGTAAGTCGAATCGTTCGCGACACGAGACTGCTGGCTCCGATGACCGTGTCCATGGTGCTGAACGCCACCCGTGACTCCGGTTCCGCGGTTCGGCCCCCTTCCTTAAAGTTCAAAGGACAGCCCGAAGTGGGGAGCCTTCCCACCGCTGCACGCCCTGGGAGCGGGGCCGAGCCGGATTCCGCGCCCTTTTAGGCTGGTGGGAACATTTTGCAAGTTGAAAGCGTGGAGGGCTCTCTGGCAGAATGGCTTTGCCGGTTCGTTAAATGGCCCCTCTGGCAAATTAGCAAGTCACAAAGCATTTGTTTCTCGGAAGGCAGGCTGGAGAAAGGGAACTGCCCGAGAAGGCAGACCTGGCATCTGAGCCCCAAAAGCTCCCAAGCACCCCCTTTAAAAAAAAAAATTAAGAAGAAATCTTAAGAAAAATGGGGAGATAAGCTAAAAATCAGCCGAGACCCGGGTCCTGGTGGGTGCCAAGACAGTACCCATTCAATTGGAAGGTGCCCGTTAAACACACGAAGGCTCACACCGAAATGGTCCCCACTGCAGTCCGAAGATCAGAGAAACGCACAGGACTGCAGCCATCCCAGCGCAGCCGAGCAGCAAGAAGCCAATCCCATTGTGTTCAATGGAGCTTCCTTCCGGGCCGGTGCATGTAGCATTTCAGCTCGGAAGAAACTCTGAGGGGTCAGAATAGAACATGGCATTTACTCGCAAGGAAGTCCCACTCTGCTGACGGGGGCTTCCGCCCCAGTCATTGAAGCACAGGGGTCTAGAGCCCCTAAGCAGCTTGGAGGAACTCTTAAAGGTTCTGTGTGGGACATTATTTATTATAAGCAGGAATATTAATCATGATCTTAAATCCCAAATCACAGAATCATGGGATAGCCACGTGGGCTACTTGCGTGTAAGGGGACAGAGCGTACGCACCCAGCCTCCGTACTTTTGTCCTGATCCCATGGGCGATTGGGACTGATCCGGCACCCTTTTTCCCGGGGGAGGGAAGAGGGCCAGGCGTGGGGCTTTGGGGGTTTCATCGAGTGCCCTTCCCCGCGCCCGGGCGGGACGTGGCACCAGGGAAGCTCCGAAGCGCGGCAACTCAAAAGCGCGGGTCTGCAGGGGCTGCGAAGAGGCGGGGGTCGTTCCGCCGGACCCCCGCTCCTAAGGACACCCCGTCTGTACGAGGAGATGTCCCCGGGGGGAAGGAGGGCTGTGGGGGGGGATACTCGGGCATGCAGATGCAAGGAACGGGGCGGCAGAGGGGAAGCACCTGCGGGCAAAGAGCCGGCTGGCCCGGGGGTCTCCAGTGCCGCGGGTCCCCTGCGCCCCGGGACTCCTACGTGGGCAAGAGCCCCGGGGGGGCGGGGGCGGCGGCCAGGGAGGCCCGTCCGGGGCCGCGCCCGCCCCCGCCGTTGCCCCTTTAAGCAGCCGGGGCGCCGCGCAGGTGGGCCGAGCGCAGGGGCGGCCGCGGCTCTATGGCAACGTGCCGGGGCCGCGGCTCCCGCACGTTCCCCGGGGCGGCGGCGGCGGCGGCGGCGGTGATGTCAGCGCGCCCGGCGGGCTGCCGCAGGTCGCGGG